TGCAGGAGTAAGATGGTATATCTCATTATGGTTTTGATTTGCATTTCCCTGATCATTAGTGATGTTGAGCATTTTTTCATATATTTGTTGGCCATTTGTATATCTTCTTTTGAGAATTGTCTATTTATTCCTTAGCCCATTTTTTGATGGGATTTTTTTTCTTGCTAATTTGAGTTTGTTGTAGATTCTGGATATTAGTCCATTGTCAGTCCATTCTCCAATGGGAGAAAATCATCACAATGATGATGGGTTGTCTGTTTACTCTGCTCTTCCTTTTGCCATGCAAAAGCTCTTTAGTTTAAGTCCCAGCTATTTATCTTTGCTTTTATTGCATTTGCTTTTGGGTTCTTGGTCATGGAATCCTTGCCTAAGCCAATGTCTAGAAAGATTCTTCCAATGTTATATTCTATAATTTTTATAGCTTTGGGTCTTAAAGTTCTTGTTCCATCTTGAGTTGATTTTTGTAAAAAGTGAGAAAAGGATTCAGTTTCGCTCCCCTACATGTGGCTTGCCAATTATCCCAGCACCATTTGCTGAAAAGGGTGTCTTTTCCTCCACTTTGTTTTTGTTTGCTTTGTCAAAGATCAGTTGGCTGTTAAGTATTCGGGTTTATTTCTGGATTCCCTATTTTGTTCCATTGCTGACCTCTCAGTTCCTTAAACTCCTCTCCTCCTTCTCTACCTGCCTCAGAAATGCATTCATATAACAATACCCAGACTATCTCATTATCAGTAACTGTAACTGACTATAATCTTGATTTCATGCATTGCACTCTGACCACCACCTCCTGTCTTTCCAGCTCATTACCCCTGGTCCCACAAAAATTCTATCTATCCTTCAATCCTACCTCCAATTCATTGATCTAGTCATCTTGATACTTTATTCATCTTCCTACCCAGTCTGTATTTTTTACTGAGGTAAAATGGACATATACAATTTACGACCTTTAAATATACAGGTCAGTAGTAATAAATACATTTATATTCCTTTTGCTCCTTCATGTCCCCCATGCTCCTCCCCTTCCTGGCTATGGTAACCACAAATCTACTATCTTCATCACATCTGCTTTTTCAGCTTCCACATGAGAGGGAACATGCAGTATTTGTCTGTGCTTGGCTTATTTCACTTAATGGCCTCCAGTTCCATTCATGTTGCTGCAAATGACATGATTTCATTCTTTTTTATGGCTGAATAATAAATATTCCATTGTGTGGCTATAACACTTCTTATTTATCCATTTATCAGTTCATGGTTATTTGGGCTGTTTCCATTTTGGGGCTATTGTAAGTAATGCTGCTATGAACATTCATGTGCAAGTTTCTGTAGAAACATGTTTTCAACTCTCTTGGGTATAAATAAACAAAGAAATGGAATTGCTGGATCATATGGTAACTCTGTATTCAACTTTTTTAGGAATTGCCAAATCGTTTTCCACAGCAGCTGTACCATTTATATTCCAATCAGCCATGTATGAGAGTTCCAATTTCTTTATATCCTTACCAATACTTATTTTCCTTTTTTTGATGATAGTCATCCTAATGAGAGTGAAGCAGTATCTTTTTTGATATGCATATGCTAATGACTAATGATGTTGCATTTTTTTGTGTGTGTGCTTATTGGGCATTTGTATTTCTTCTTTGGAACAGATATTTGAAATATCTATCCAAATATTTTGTCCATTTGGAAACTGGGTTGTCTTTTTATTGTTAAGAGTTCTTCATTATTTTGTAAACTATACCTTTATCTGATAAATGATTTGTAAATACTTTATCCCACTCTGTGGATTGTCTTTTTCACTTTCTTGTGTCTTTTAATACACAGGGCTATTTTTCAGGACTCAGTTTTGATACGTTCCAAATTATTTTTTCTTGTTTGTTCTTTTGGTGTCCTATTAGGAGACTGTTGCCTCATCTAAGGACATGAAGATTTATACTTTTAGTTTCTTCTTCTAATAGTTGTACTATTTTAGCTCTTAAATTAGGTCTTTAATCTATTTTGAACTAATTATTGTGTTAGGTAGGGTCCTGTCTTAGTCCATTTGTATTTCTATAACAAAACACCGGAGACTGAATAATTTATAAAGAACTGAAATTTATTTCCCATGGTTCTAGAGATTGGGAAGTTCAAGATCAAGGCGGTGGCAAAATTGGTATCTGGTGAGGGCTGTGCTCTGCTCCCAGGATGGCACTTTGTTGCTTCATCCTCTGGAGGGAACACTGTGTCCCAACATGGTGGAAAGAACAGAAGGACAAGAGTGTGCTTCCTTTAACCAAGGCCTTTTAACAAGGATGCTAATCACATTCATGAAGGCTCTGTGCAAAGGCTTCCAAAAGGTTACACCTCTTAATACTGTTGCACTGGGGATTAAGTTTCAACATGAATTTTGAAGGGACACCATCATTCAAACCATAGCAGATCTAAATTCATTACTTTGTATGTGGCTATCCAGCTGCCCTAGAACCATTTGTTTTAAAGACTATTCTTGCCTCCACTGAATGCTCTCGGCACAGACACGAGTTTATTTCTGGAATAGATTCTCAATTCTATTCCAATGATTTACATACATCTCTTTCTTACACTTAAGAGCACTTTTATTAATGCACTGTAATTGTTTACGTCTCCCATTAAACTGTGAGTTCCTTGAGATCAGGAGCCACATCATTGTTTATCTTAGTATTTAACTCATCATTTAACAGACTCTCAAAATATGCTCACTCAACAAATGAAATTAACCACTTAGTTTTGAGAAGAATGGGAATGGAGTCTACAATAAAGATGGTTCCCTTTCCCATGTAGTACTTCACCTTATGAGGTAGCTTTGAAATTCTGACACCCTGTCTCCACTATTCAAATTGGCAATTATTGATTCTAACATTTACTGAACCCCTTCTCATACAGAAATAGGGGCACTGCAAAGTTTACAATTGAGAAAAAGAGATAATGTCATGAGCCCAAATAGCTATAATTAAAAACAGTTAAATGTTGTAAGATAATACAAAGGAAATACTACTGGAGTTAGAAGGGGCAGAAATCGCTGTCAACCAGGATATCCATGAGTATACCAATCACTCACCTATCTTGGAGGGCAATTAATACTTCGATGCCAAAAGATTTTTTTTTTTAAAGAGGAGACAGGGTTTGAATTTTACTAGTAATATGGTTTGTGGATTTTGATTACCTTTGAAAGACCAGCTGTTCTCTTAAAATAAATCCCTGGGTCCTACTGAATTATTTTTGTTTATTTAACATATACCTCAAAAGTGCAATCGATATTATAATTTAAATTAAAAATACTAACTTGAACAATTCACAGATGATTGAATTCAGGTGACAGAGAATAAGACTTAGGCATCTTAAGTCATGGGTCTGAATAATATGTTAGGTCTTCCTCCTCTTCTCCACACAATTATTATTATTATTATTATTATTATTATTATTTTTTTTTTTTTTGAGACGGAGTTTCGCTCTTGTTACCCAGGCTGGAGTGCAATGGCGCGATCTCGGCTCACCGCAACCTCCGCCTCCTGGGTTCAGGCAATTCTCCTGCCTCAGCCTCCTGAGTAGCTGGGATTACAGGCACACGCCACCATGCCCAGCTAATTTTTTGTATTTTTAGTAGAGACGGGGTTTCACCAAATTGACCAGGATGGTCTCGATCTCTCGACCTTGTGATCCACCCGCCTCGGCCTCCCAAAGTGCTGGGATTACAAGCTTGAGCCACCGCGCCCGGCCCACACAATTATTATTAAGCTGAGTTTTTCAAAGTTTTTTTTTTTTTTTTTTTTTTTTAAGAGGCAGGGTCTTGCTGTGTCACCCAGGCTGGAGTGCAGTGGCATGATCACAGCTCAATGCAGCCTTGAACGCCTGGGCTAAAGTGATTCTCCTACTTTAGCCTCCCTAGTAGCTAGGACTATAGGCATGCACCACCATGCCTGGCTAACTTTTTAGTTTGTGGAGTTTTGCTCTTAAGCCTCAACTGGTCTCAAACTCCTATCCTCAAGTGATCCTGTTGCCTCGGCCTCCCAAACTGGTGGGATTAAAGGTGTGCACCACCACTCGCTGTCTAAACTGATTTTTAAGAAATACACAATGTTTTCAAATCTTGGATATGAAGTTTTTATATAAAAATATACTACTAGAAAATATGTAAATTTACAGTCTATCAATTGTTTCTTGTTCAAAGATCTGGTATCAGAAACAGATGAAAGCGGGATGGAGGACAATTTAGTGTATCAGGAACAAGATCTATACAAAAGCCCGGCCAATTAAAAAAAAAAAAGGGAACATGGTCTTTGGAGTCAGACCAACTTGGAATAACAGTTCCTTCAGTTGGGGCTATATGACCTGAGCATTTTTTGGTCTCTAAAATGTAGGTAATAAGGATTTAATAAGATCTTTGTTATCACCTCAGAGTGATAAGGATTTAATAAGATGACACATATAAAATGTCCATAAGTAAGTATTCAATAGCTAGTAAAGGAGAATATGGGTATTAATAAAAACCAGAAGCCCAAGACAGTCATTCTCTGTAATCAGAGGGATCAGGGTTTGGGGTCATATAGACTTAAATTGCTGCCTTTACCAATGTTGTGTGTGAACTTTGCTTGTCATTTCAAGTGGAAGGGGTTACCATTGTCTGTTTTACTCACCCTAGGTCATATACTACCCCAGGTTGAGAACACAAGCCAGTTTAAGTCAGTCACAGAGCAAAAACCTAATTCAATATAATACCTACTTGCTTTGCAGTCCAATGGTGAGAAATTCATTCAATATCTAGGCATGTGATATGATTCAGGGTAAATTACAAAACCTTTCTAATTTTGCCTTCTCATCTTTCAAGTGACTCCTTTTGCAAAAGTAAGTATATTTCAAAAAAATTTTAGGGCAGCAACACTCTGTTTTTTAAAGGCTAATTGTCTTAGTTATTTGCAATGAAAACAGCCTGCAGGTCTCCAGTGTAAGGTCCCCATTTCATAGCAGGAAGAAATAGATTAACATTATTTTAGAATCTTACATAACAGATATTCTATACCTTTATTATCAGGGAAAATAATTATTAATTTTAAGATTCCCAAAAGTACAACTCTGAACATGTCAGTTTTGTGCACATAGGACTTCAAACTTTAATGATACACCCATCATACAGTCAGGAAGCAGAACAATTCCTCAAGAAATAAAGCAAAAATGCCAAGATGCTCTCCAACCACCACTTTTTTTTTTAAATCTACGAAACAATTTCCTTACAAATTAAGTTGTTTTTATAGTAGTGACATTTATCATTGATGTGATCTGTTTAATATGACTGTAGTTAGAAGGGAAGTTGGGCCTCTAATTTTTTTCAGAAATTGAAAAAAGTACCATCATTAAGATAAGGAAGAGAAAGATTTGTATCCATCTTTTTGGGACATGTAAGGTGAGAGTGAATTCTCACAGTTGGAGAATTTGTGGATATTGCTGGAGGAATTGGAGATGCTCTCTAGTAAGCGGGTAATCCCTCTTCCCCGAACACTGCTGTTTTGGCCTGAAATGTTCGCCCTAGATGGGTAATCACCTAGGATATTGAAAAATATGAGAAAAGAAATATAATAATTCTATAATTTCTTAAGAAAGAGATGCCTCAAATAACTGACTCATCCTACTGTAGGCCTTTCACTAAGCCATAATTCAATGGATCAAGAATAAAAAAATGTTTGAAATTTTCAGTTGAAGTTCTTTAGGTACTACTTGAAATTTCATGTCATTAGCTTTTAAAGTTTCTCACCTCCCAAAAGATATTATTGAAATCAAAACTATAAAGCTGTTGCTGTTACAACAAAAACAGGTTTTCTCTTAAAGTCCTGAACAAATTCTGAGGAATAAGTTACCATGTATCAAAGTGACCCCAAAATGTACATTATCTAAATTGTGTAAGGTGCTAATATCAAATAAAACCCCCAATTCAACAAGCTCCTTATATCCCTAAGCTAACTTAGAAATCACTGTTTAAACACCACACCCTGGGATCTTAGTAATAGTCCCTAACCTCCTTTAGGTGCATTTTTGTAAAATATAAGGTGCTTACCAATGGGTGTGTTTGATCTTTGTTCCTGATTAGAAGAGTTGAAATGAGAGAATCCTGGACTCCCGACCCTTAGCTTCTGTAAGTAACAGGAAAATACCAGGGGGAAATTTGTTTACTTCTTATCAATTATTGGATGGTCTTCAATTTCAAATTACTCTTTAAAAATCCAAACTAATACTGAAATACTTTTCCAATGTCTGATCAATTTTTGCTGCAAAGAGAACGAGAAGATAGGATAGACTCTTGGGGGAGATGAGGAATTACAGGGTAAAAAAGGATTTGCCTTTTTTTTTTTTTAAGTGAGATTATAGCATGTTTGCTGATAGTGCATTAGAACAGAGTGAAACCCTGATGATAAAGGAGGGGAAAATTACTGAAGCCATGTTCTTGAGTGGTAAGGGAAGGAAATTTAATACATAAATAGACACATTGGTTTTAGATAGTAAGAGAAAATTCATTCATTAACACAGGAGTAAAGCAGAGGATATGGTAGCTGCAGGTAGATGAGTGGTAGGAATATGCAGAAAATCTCTCCCACTTGCTTCTATTTTCTCAGAGAAATAGAAGGCAAAGGCTAGAACAAGGGTGAGGGAAGAGGTGATGAAATTTGAAGGAAAAAGGTGGTGAGAAGTAAGTGCCTAGGAGATTAGGAAATTAATCAGATTAGAGAAATGAATATCTGCCAGGCAACACTAAAGGCCCCTTCAAGTTGGTGGTGCTAAATATTATTCAGTTAAGATCAGTTGGCATGGCAGTTCCTTTCTAGCTGCATTTAGCTTCACAGGCCTAGGGGGAGAGTAAGTGAAGAGTTAGATGTAATCAGGGTTAGTATCTGTCAAGTATGATGAAAAAAAGAGGGCCAATGGAGCTGACAAGGGCATGCAAGGCAATGGAAAACATAGGCCAAGGAATCTGAGTTGGGAAGGAAGAAGGTGAAGGGTAGAGACAAAGTTGGTAAAGGCGGAGACATAAGGCTACAGCATTACTAGTGTGAATGGTGCCCTGGAGTTGTGCAATGAAGTGGCCCTGTAAGGGAGTGTAAAACAGTGGAGGCATAAATGAATTGTATATCCCAGTAGAGACTAAATAATTGTTGGCACTGAAGTACTAGAAGATGGTGGTAGTCTGAGAGGGAGATGTTTGAAATCAAGATTATGAAGGAGGTACCAATGGGTCCAGGATATGATTGTTTGGTAGTAGACAAGATTATTGAAGGACAGGAAATCAAAGAACTGAGAGCTTAGGCAGCTGGAAGGATTACATGTAGGGAAATTGAAATAAATAATTCTGATGTGAAAACCAGTTTTCTGGATCAGTATTGCTCTAAGAGCAAGAGGAACCAACTCAGGAGTCTACTGACTCCAAAAGGGCCATCAGGTACTACATCCTGGATGGCAGGAAATTCAAAGCCTAGGAATTTTGGGTAGACTGTATAAAGAAGTCTGGAAGCCACAATCAAGGACAACTACTTCAAATCTAGGCCCATGACAAATGAAGAAGCAAAAGATGTCACCATTTGAAAGGGGTAATAGAAAAGCAGTGTCTTTAGAGGAGTGTCAGTTTTAGTTAGAACCAAGAAGGTAAACAGATTTTCCCCCAAAGATAACAAAGATATCTGAAATTTTGTTGATAACTAAGGCTGAAAAAACCCACAGGAAGGTTTCTCAGCAGTTGGGAAGGGCTGGGAAATAGGATCAGCCAAATAAGATGAGTCTGGGAGATAAGAGAGAATCTATGAGTCCCTAGGCTTCCTGTAGTAACTAATGTAAACAGGGAAAAAGCATATTGTTGAGATTAATTCTGATGATGTCCACAAGATGGTGATGATGAGGCTAAGGCAGGGTTTCTCCACCTGGGCACTAATGATATTTTAGGCTGGAAAATGCTTTGCTGTGGAAAGCTGTCCTGTATATACAGAATGTTTAATAGCATTACTGGCCTTTATCCACTAAATGCCAGGGGCACCCCCTCCCTAGATGTGACAATCAAAAACGTCCCCAGGCATTGTCAGATGTCCCATGGAGGACACAAAACAGAGTTGAGAACCACTGGGCAAAATGTTACAAGGGAGAATACAGAAGGGTCTTGCCCAGAATATACATGGAGAGCTCTGGAGTCTTTATTTTTAAATTATCATACGGTAAAATTTTTTTTTTTTTGTATACACATCTATGAAGTTTAACCTATGTACAGAGTTGTGTATATACCACAATCAGGATACAGAGCCATTATATTACCTCAAAAACCTCCCTCATGCTCAATTCCTTTACAGACACCCTGTTCCCACCCCTAACTGCTGGGAACCACTAACGTGTTCTTCATTGTTACAGTTTGTTCTTCAAAAAATGTCATATGAATGAAATCATACAGTATATTATGAAGTATGTAATTTTGGAGACTGCTTTTGTTCAGCATAATTAACTAGTATGAATCTAGTTGTACGTGTCAGTAGTTCATTCCATTTCTTGAGTTTCCTTTTTACCAAACGTTTAACTATTTTAAAATATCAATATTTATTTATTATCTATTAAGTTCTAAGGCATGGAGGCTTTGGCACTGTCATATATTGCTGCATTTAATCCTAATAAATACTAGCCCCTATTATTGTTCTTGTTTAATACATAAAAAATTAATACAGAAAGTTCAAGTATCTTGCATAAAAACACAAAGCTTGTCTGCAGCAGAACCAAAAATAACATTCAGGAATTTTGACCCTAGAGCCCATACTCTTAAGTGCTATGCACTTACTGGTGTAGAGGCCTACTAATAAGTAAACAGCAGGGAGGGAAGGAAGGTGGTAGAGAAATTAGATAGCGTTTAATTAAATCTTAAATCAGGTCCAACATTTTTGAAGTAGATGTTTAGAATATTTATATGACCTACATTCAGATACTTAATTTTTGGAATAAATCTTTGGAAATGTTTTACATAAAGACTAAATACTGGTTTTAACTTTCTTAAAACTTTGTTAAATTAGTAGGAAATATACCAGAAAAAAGAATTTTACACAAGACACAACTGTGTTAGGGACTGTTTGACATTCCATGAAGGACTTCAAAATAATGTTAAAGGGAGGGAAAGAACCAAACAAAGCCTTTATCTTTTGCTGCTGTTGGCCAGAATCACATCAAGTAGAACAGCTAGAGAGACCAGAAGCTCTTAGAAGTCAGTTCCTTACCTGGTAACGCCCTGCATCCAGTACAACCATTTTGGGTGTCACACTATTGCTGGCCTCATAATCTTGTAGTGGTACATGAGCCTCTGTAAGCTGGATTCCAAAGAGAGTACCCAGAGAATTACTGATGCAGTACCTTTAAAAGAAAGAAAAATCTCACTATCAGAATCTAATTTAATTCATTCTAAAAGTATTTGTATTTTAAAATCCTTAACAAAAAGAAAGCGTCTGAGATACTGTTATAAACCGGGAAAAAATAAATTTGGAGATTCAGAGAAGTCATATAAATAAATAGCAATACACATAATACAACAGGTTATTACTGGTAAGCAACCTTCTGATTACCAGATAAAATTTTACTTTTATTTTAAAGAGATGGGAATGAAGGTAAAGATCACTAGGATTCCCAAATATTTAAGGCAAGGAGAGGGAGCAGCAGAAATAAGACTACAACCATAAATCATAATTTAACCTCTGAACTAATAACACCTGCTGGGCTACCAGAGCATCCAGATATCTGGGGCTCCAGGTACTTTCACCACAAAACGAGAACAAAGGTCTATGTGTTGGAGCACCCCAACAAGGAAGCAATAAGTGGTTCTGAAGGTTCACCCATATTGCTCAGGACATGTGACATGAACAGAAAATAAAAGTAGTATGATGTACGAAACATCTTTATTTTTATTTTTATTTTTTTGTCAGTATATAGTAGGTGTATATATTTATGGGGTACGTAAGATGTTTTGATACAAGCATGCAGTATGTAGTAATCACATCATGGAAGATGGTATATCTGTCCCTTCAAGTATTTATCCTTTGTATTATAAACAATCCAATGATACTTTTAGTTATTTTCAAATGTACAATTAAATTATTATTGACTATAGTCATTCTACTGTGCTATCAAATACTAGGCCTTATTCAGTCATTCAAACTATTTTTTTGTACCAATTAACAATCCCCACTTCCCCTTCACCCCTCTAGTACCCTTCCTGCCTCTAGTAATCATCCTTCTGCTCTCTATCTCCATGAATTTAATTGTTCTGATTTTTAGATCGCACAAATAAATGAGAACATGTGACATTTATCTTCCTGTGCCTGGCTTACTTCACTTTACATAAGGATCTCTAGTTCCATCTACGTTGTTGCAAATGACTGAATCTCATTCCTTTTTTTGGCTGAATAAGTACTCTATTATGTCCAAGTACCACATTTTCTTTACCCATTCATCGCTGATGGATACTTAGGTTGCTTCCAAATCTTGGCCACTGTGAACAATGCTGCAACAAACATGGGAGTCTTTTTTTTGATATATTTCCTTTCTTTAGGGGATATACCCAGCAGTGGAAGTGCAGGATCATATAGTAGCTCTATTTTTAGTTTTTTGGAGGATCTCCAAATTGTTCCCCATAGTGGTTGTATTAACTTATATCCCACCGGCAGTGTATGAGGGTTCCCTTTTCTCCAAACCCTCACCAGCATTTGTTATTGCATATCCTTTAGATATAAGCCAATTCAAACCAGCATGAGATAATATCTTACTGTAATTTTGATTTGACCACCTTTGTTTTAAAAGAGCATTGTGGAAACAGATTTACCCCGGCTGCCAAAGCAACAGCAAGCAAAACAGCACAAAATAATTTAATCGGAATACAGTATCATGAAGCAACTCCTCTCCCCAACTTACGCAGTCTTCTTGCAAACAGCTAAAGCACAGAAGAGAATATCATTTTCTTCATGCCACTTGCACCTGTACAAAAAAAATGGACTTTAATATCCTAACTGAAGTGGCACTGCTTAAAGGTTTTTACATGCCAGATTCCTATCTGAAATCATTTACAAAATGAGCTTACTCAAAAGATTAAAACTTCAAATTTAACATAAAGAATTTTAAAAAACAGATTTTAATGCTACCTTCTCTGATAAAAATTCATGACACTACGCAACCTACACATAACCATACAGTCAAATTTTACCTTGAAATAAAATGAGTTCTTCTGGCACACTGGTGACATGCAGTCATTCAACAAACATTTATTCAATGTACACTATTTGCCAGGCCTTGCAGTAAACACTAGTAATACAGTAGTGAAAAAACAGAAACTATTGTCCAAATGAAACTTACTTTCCAGTGGGAAAGACAGATCAAGAAATATATACAAGCATAAAATACAGTAAATTAGAAAACTGAGAAAGTTCTAAGGAGAAAAAGAAGATGACATAAAATATTAGGGAGGAGTAACATTTTAGATAAACTGTCAATCAGTGAAAGGCATCACTGAGAAGGTGGTATTTCAAAGGATATCTCAGGAGGTGATGTTGCTGAGGAAATGACCGAAATAATTTGTATAAGTCAATACAAGATTACAAGCACTGACACAGCACACTTTCATGACAAGTGATGCTATAAATCTTGTGTATATCTTTCCAATGAATACAGTCTATTAAGACTCAGAGCAGCTCTACCTGCACAATACAAAGCTTACCTAAACTTAGCAAAAAGACTTCATTTAAAATTACAAACATACTAAACAGTGTAAGTGTAAAAAGTCCATTATTTCAACTGCATGAAAATTATTTCATGCATGGAGAAATGGAAGACTACTTAAAAATAATAAATTTCCCACTGTTTTTCCAAAGAAAAGTGATCCAATAAATGTGGTGGTTCACAAAACTGTTAAAATGAAGACTTAAGTTAAAACAAAAGCTAAGTTATATATACATACTATGTACCAACAAAAATTAAAACTTAAGAAAACAAAAAAACCTAAACTGGCTGGGCACAGTGGCTCATGCCTATAATCCCAGCACTTTGGGAGGCTGAGGCAGGTGGATCACTTGAGGTCAGGAGTTCGAGACCAGCCTGCCCAGCATGGTGAAACTCCGTCTCTGCTAAAAATATAAAAATTAGCTAGGTGTGGTGGTGCATGCCTGTAATCCCAGCTACTTGGGAGGCTGAAGCAGGAGAACCACTAAACCAGAGAGCTGGAGGCTGCAGTGAGCCAAGATCAAGCCATTGCACTCCAGTCTGGGTGACAAAGGGAGACTTAGTCTCAAACACCAACCACCACCACAAACAACAACAACCCTAAACCTAAGTTTTTAGACAACCACACAGAATTTTCATGTAATTTTAGAAGTAATTTTTACTTTCCAGCTAGTTTTGCTCCTTGTCCAGAACTTAATAAACCCCAAGAGTTTAACTGTTATGTCATATACACATTTTCCATTAGAGATCAGATTTGAAATGAAGGAAACTAAAAAACTAATAATATACTCCAGGATTACAACAAACACAAAAAACAAAATCTTACAAAAATCTGATCCCAGAAGAAAAAAAGCCTCCAAATCTATGGTTCTGCCATTAAAAATGACATTGTTTTGATCTGTTTTTATACTCATACGTCTTAATCCTCTTCCTCAAAATTATTCCACCAATCTCCCTAAAAATATGAGCTTATTTTCTAGTAAAGGAAAGTTCATTGTATAAATGTGTCAAAAATCAGAACGGCTTTGTATACTTTGTTAAGCTAAACTCACAGCTTCCTCCCCAAGACTGCAACATAATCTTCCTCACTCAAATGATGTGCAGCACAAAGACCTTACACTCTTTTCCTCTTTATCTCAAAAGGTCCCTATGACCTCCTTTTCTATTTCAGCATTAAGATTCTTCTTTTCAAGGATAACCCTGTCTTTACCTGCCCTTATGGACCATTGTCATCCTATAGTTACATATATGCTGTAGTCAAACTGACTTACTGGTTTTTCTTAAACAGTCTGTTGGTTTTCATTTCTGTTTTTCATTTTGTTTTGTTTTGTTTTGAAACAAGAGTCTCACTCTGCTGCCCAGGCTAGAGTGCAGTGGCATGATCTCGGCTCACTGCAACTTCCACCTCCTGGGTTCAAGCAATTCTCATGCCTCAGTCTCCTGAGTAGCTGATATTATAAATGTGCACCACCATGCCTGGCTGATTTTTGTATTTTTAGTAGAGACAAGGTTTTACCATGTTGGCCAGGTTGGCCTCGAACTGCTGACCTCAAGTGATCCACTCACCTTGGCCTCCATAGTGCTCGGATTACAGGCATGAGCCACCATGCCCAGCTGGCTTTCATTTCTCTGAGTCACTATTCAGGCCACTTGTTAACTGGACAGGTCCCTCCTTCAACCCAAATCTCTGCTCTAAATTTTTTTTCTTTTTTTTTTTTTTTTCCCCGAGACGGAGTTTCACTCCTGTTACCCAGGCTGGAGTGCAATGGCGCAATCTCGGCTCACCGCAACCTCCGCCTCCTGGGTTCAGGCAATTCTCCTGCCTCAGCTTCCTGAGTAGCTGGGATTACAGGCACGCGCCACCATGCCCAGCTAATTTTTTGTATTTTTAGTAGAGACGGGGTTTCACCACGTTGACCAGGATGGTCTCAATCTCTTGACCTCGCGATCCACCCGCCTCGGCCTCCCAAAGTGCTGGGATTACAGGCATGAGCCACCACGCCTGGCCTAGAAATTCTATCTTCACAGAAGAAACAAATAAAACATTTATTCCATATGGTACTTAGTAGTTTTTAAACCCTCACAACACTTAAGTGACATCTTTCGCATCTGATTTTTCATAATTTTTTTAAACTCTTTTGAAATTCTACCAGAATTTACCATATATGACTAGTGTTTTCACACTAGAGTCTTATTGAGCAGAAGATTCTGAGGTCAAGGACAATTGTGTCACTGTTTCCCACATTTCCCAAAGAAATTTTCCCATACAAGTGCCTTTTGTACAAAAGCAGCTCAAATCCTGCTAAATATCAAAAGCTCATTAAATTGGACTAAGAAAAACTATTCTAAAGTGATAAAGTATAAAACTGTACTTTTTTTTCTTTTTTGAGGTAAAGTTTTGCTCTTCTTGCCCAGACTGGAGTGCTGTGGTGCCATCTCAGCCCACTACAACCTCTGCCTCCTAGGTTCAAGCGATTCTCCTGCCTCAGCCTCCTGAGTAGCTGGGATTACAGGCATATGTCACCACACCCGGCTAATTCTGTATTTTCAGTAGAGACAGGGTTTCTTCTCCATGTTGGTCAGGCTGGTCTTGAACTCCCAACCTCAGGTGATCTGCCTGTGTTGGCCTCCTTAAAGTGCTGGGATTACAGGCAAAACTTCATCTCTTAATACTATTGCTGGGGGTTCTGGTTCAAGATGGTGAATTAAACACAGGCACAGATTTATCTCTTCTTGCTCCCAAGACCCTATGAAGATGACAGCCAAAGAATAAAAATGGTACATGTCCACAATAAAAGAAAAAAGCAGAAAGAGGTCTCCATAGAAGACAGTTTAACAAATCTGTGGAGAAAAAAAAAAAAAAAAGGTAACTGGTGAAGCTGGACAGAAGTCACAGTCTTCAGTGCTCACAGAAGAGGATATAGCAGAAGAAGGTCTGCCTATCAGAACTTTGGAGAGGCTTTGGACTTATGAACATGTCTCTACTCACAGAGCAGAAAAAGAAGACATGAGGCTGAATTTCTGTAAAAAGAACAGTCTACTTCCCTGACCCCCCATGCAAAAACGTAAAACTGTTCTTGGAAAATCAGGCAGCAAGAATGGCTACTCGTACCCTAAAGCAAAGCCTTTCATATTCTAGCATTTAGGATTTTGCCTCCAAATTAACATCTATCCTTCTTGTCTGCTTTCTTTACAGGAAAGCCTCATCAGTTAACAATCCCCACTGAACAATATGGAACACTTACTCAGCTTTATAGCCTCATTTCTAAATATGAGCGCAATCAAGGATAATCAAGACATTCAAGAAAAGCCTGCAACATGAAAAAGAAGAAAATCGGGAGACCACAACTCACAACCCAGAAGAATGAGATAATCCAGGGAACAAAAGCAAACTAACAGCCCTAACAGCTTACAGAAGAGTGTGTAGAAACGCCAAGTACTTTACAGTGGCAAAGAAGACCAACTACTTCAAGGGGATTTATGAAATTATTACATCCAGAATCCCAGTTTTTCTCATCTCTTCAGCCCTCATCAACACTGATGATGCCTATGATGATTTGTGTAACACAGCAACACTTATAGGCTAAGAGATACTGAGACTTCAAAAAGCCTCTGCCCACATTTTAACGCGTCAGAGCTTGTCAGGGCTTGTGCTGAGTCCTCTTCTGTTTCTGCTGTTTGTCAGAGTAATCTCATCTACATGCTGTGAGGTATATTAAGGCAGAAGACTTGTCTTTCTGTATTATATCTTCAGTGCCTAGCACATAGTGAAAAGAATGCTGACACTACCCAAACCACTTCACTGAGCTCTAGGTCAGGACCACAGGTTGCTTGCCTGCTATCTACAGATGCGATGCCTCACCAGGACCTCAGAACATTGTAACCTTGTTCCTCTCCTCCCCATCTATCCAGTAGTATAAACCAGAAAGCTGGGTGTCATCTTTCATTATTTCTTTGCATTTTCTCTCCCTGGGTCCAGTCCATCAGCAAGGTCTACTGACTTTTACCAATCTGAAATCAACCTATTCCTCTGAATCGCTCCACCGCCACCATAGCACAAGCCATTTCTTGCCTGGATTAGAGAAATCATCTAATAATCACAGGTTCCATACTTCCCTTTTTGCCTCCTTATAATACACCCATTAAAAATGCAGACCTTTTAGATGTAATCTGACACTTCCCTAATTGATATAATTCCATCTTATGGCTAACAGGGCCTTGTGTTTCTGACCCCCAACAGCTTCAACTTCATCTTACGCATT